CCAACATAGTTTATAAAATACATGTGTGTATACTACATATAAACACATGTAAAACTTTTAGAATGGTTTCTGGATGGTAATTAATACTCAGTAAACGTTAAACATAAAGATCTTATAAAAATTGGGGTATTTTCCCCTTTGGTAGGAATATGGATATTTTTCTTATTACTTCTGCTTAATTTTTAAAACTCTCAACAATTAGCATGTCTTATGTTTATAAATTTTAAGGTACAATTTTGGTTGTTTTAAACAGCTTACTAGATTCATCTTCATTTATTATTAGGCAAGTTGAGCAGTAGTTTATTCTATAGGCACCAAAATTTTAATGAAGAGATGCTAGGTGAGGAGCAAAGGGAGTTGGGCGGACAGGGGAGGGGTGGAGATGGAGAAATGGCCGCACCTGCGCCCAGGTCCTAGGGTGCGTGTTGGTGACGATGACAGACAGCCAAGGCCGAGGGGTGAAGCTGCAGCCCTCAGGGGCGGGCTATGGCTTAGGCAGAGGACAGAGGAAGCAGGGGACCATAGCAACGGCAGGACACTGGGTGTCTAAGCAGGAATTCAGGGTACGGTGTCACGAATTTAGAGTGACGAGGACCTCGCAACAGTAAAACAAACACAGGTGAAGAGAAAACAGGGTGGGGTTCTGGAACATTGCGAGGACCTCCAATCAGGAGACCTGAGGAAACACTGCATCAGCCCCAGAGAAGGGTCTGTCCACAGAGGCTCGGCCTGAAGACACTGGAAGAGGAGGAGAAAGGAATACCTGGGGCACATGCCCAGCAGCGGGTAGCATTTACCTGTGCCCATTAGGTCAAGTCTCTCAGGGGTGTTATTCCACTCTGGTTTGGACAAGCGTCCCCCAGTGTGGTCGGGGCTTGGTTCTCAGCCTGTGGTGTATTCGGGAGGTGGAGAGGTGGTGAACCTTTAAGAGATGGGCTAGTGGGAGGCCTTCTGATCACCCCAGGCCCTCCTCTTCCTCTTCCTCTTCCTGCTTCTTTCTCTGCCACATTTCCACTGTGATACACTCCACCCCAGACCCAGAAGTTATAGGGTCAACATCACCATGGACTGAAACCTCCAAAACCTTAAGCCAAAATAAACTTTGCTTCTTTTTTAAGATAATTATGCAGGTATTTTGTCACAGTAACAAAAAGCTGACTAACATATGCTCTCTATGTTTAAAGATTTACTTTTATCAGATTTATTAGTATATACTTAAGAAAAGGCTTAAAGTATGTAACTTGATGTATTTGAACGTGTTTTAACATATTTGTGAAACTGTTCCCCAAATCAGGACACATCTACCACCTCTGAAGAGTCCTCGGTCGGCTTATGATTTCTTCCTTGAGGCCATCATCTTTCACTATGGATTAGTTTGCATTTTTCTAGAAATGTATTCAACACAAACATGGAATATGCACCCTCTTTTGTCTGACTCTCATTCAGCGTAATTACTTTGAGGTCCATCCATGATTTGGCTCTCCCAGTTGTCCTTTCTGGCTTATTTCTTAGTATTCTTACATGAATATGCCACAGTGAGTTCAGTCATTCCTTGTAATTGCCCCTGGGTTGTTTCTAGATTCGACCTGTTAAATAGTGAAACTCCTGGGAGTACCCAGGTTTGATTCTTCATGTAGCATGTGCTTTCTTTTGTCTGGGGTCAACCCTAGGGTATATAGGTGTGTTTTTAAAAACCTGCATATATTTTCTAGAGTTGTTATAACATTCTGTGATCACTGCAATATACAAAAATATCGCTGATCTATGTTCTCAGCAACACTTGGTGTGGTCAGTCAGTTAATTGTAGAGATATTGATAGGTATGCAGAGGGACATTGTGATTTTAATTTACATATATTCAACTTTTACATTAAAGAGTTGATTATATTTAGGGAATCTTTTCATCTTCTTTCATGAATTGACTACAAAACTCATTTGGTTATCTGTTTTGGATTGTGTTGATTATTACTAACAAATTGTAGTCACAGCAGTTTGGGAGGCTGAGGCACGAGATTCACAAGTTTCAAAGCCAGCCTCAGCAAAAGCAAGGTGCTAAGCAACTCAGTGAGACCCTGTCTCTAAATAAAATACAAAATAGGGCTGAGGATGTGGCTCAGTGGTTCAGTGCCTCTGAGTTCAATCCCTGGTACCAAAATTAAAATTAAAAAAAAAAAAAACGTCAAAGTTCCTTATATATTTTGCATATACCTCCTGGACCTTATGTAGGATTTACAAAAGTTTTCTCTCAGTCTATGGAGATCTTAATTTTAACAAATCCCTATTTATCAATTTTTGTCTTTTATGGATCATAGTTTTGGCATAATAGCTAAGAAAACTTTGTTTAACTCAAGAGCAGAAATTTTTTTCTCTTGTATTGATTTTTATGGATTTATGTTTACATTTAGAGGCATGGTTTATTTTTAGCTTTTACATGTGGGGTGAATTGATCAAATCTTATTTTGTTTGTTTGGCTTGTTCATGGACCTACAGTTCCTCCAGCATCGGGAATGCATATGGGTTTGTTTTGACAGGTCCTCTACTGTTTTTAATCATCGGTTTCTGTGCCTTGGAATGTCTAGTACATTTTTATTGAGTGACAGCTATTGTAAATTTACAAAAGGGCTCCAGATGATGTGGCTTCCACCATGAAAGATCCACTACGTTTTCCTTGGGTATGAAAAGTGGGCATTGCTCGCCTTGATTCAGTTCCTGTCTGGCCTGGGTCTCCTGCGAGGAAGGCTCTGCCTGTCTCCTGCTGCAGAGCGCCCAGGACTTTCTGCTGAAACCTGAAGGATCATCCCTTTTGTTTCCAACACAGGAAGCCCTTGTGCTTTTCGGTGCCCTCTTCATGGGAAATGCCCCTGGACTCTTCCATCTCACTGCTTCCTCATCAGACTCCTTCTCTTTGGTCTTTAGTTTTCCCTCTAGTCCACCTGGCCCCAGGTCCCCTCAAGTCTCCATCCCCAGCCTGGCCCCTGGGGCTTGGACTCTCAGCTTTGGCCTTGAGTCTAGGTCAGCACACATCCACCCCCTGAAGGACCTCTGAGAGCTTATCTCCTCGGGAATTTCCCCCTCCCCCCGGGTTTGTAGGTTTAGTAATCCTAGGAAACCTGGAAATAGTTTCAGGTTTTTAAAAAACTCAGAGAGTTTTAGTGCTTTTCGGTGAGAGTGTGGAGCTCCAAACTACCACATCCACTTCAAGAGCAAAGTTGGGCACAGCCCTCCACCTCCTGTTGGTGGATTAACCTTCGCCCCCTCTCTCTTCTCCTGCGGTCTCATTTGTCTTTACAGCTGTCGCTTCACTTAAGTTTCTCTTACATTATCTTCCACTACCGTTGAACTGTGTGTGTGCTGTGTGTGTGTGTGAGTGTGCACGTGTGTGCACGTGATTACTAACTTGGGCTCCTTTAAAGTTCCTGGGTGCAGTATGTTCTTGCCCCGGAATTTCTCCTTTTGTCTTTTGAGAAGGTTATTTCTGACCTGTGATATGCCCCTGTATTCTTTATGTCCTCAGATTTTCATTTTCTGTCCTTAACTTATGTTTGCTCTGTGTTTTAGACAAAAAGCAAGTCTCAAAAAATGGGGAGGTTAGTGGTGAGCTTGAGTATTAATTGAAGCTTTTTGGATTTTATTTTAAATCAATTCAGTTTTATCAGATTGTTTTTAGTAATTTTTTTCTTATAAGAAAAATGTTTATTATTAGGACAGAAGCCTCAGTAACCAGGTGTACAGTCCTTCCAAGGAGATTTGGGGAAGAGGAGAAAGAAATACATGAACACACATTAATCAACTGTTTTCTATTTCTGATTTATGTCGTATGTTTTAAACATTAGAACCTTATTGGATAAGGTCATCAAAGGGCTCTAGGGTCCTTTACAAAACACCTGACCCCCGAGAACCTGCCTTGCATACTAGTAGGGCTTAAAAAAATGTTCATTTGAGTTCCTACTGGAAATGTGGGTCAGTGGGCAGAGGGTGGAGAAGCTTGTGAGAAGCTCCCAGGAGGGCTGGAGCTGATGTGACCAACACCAAAAGATGGATTAGAAGCAATTAGATTGCTTTTAGGAATCACATTCTCTAGGACACTAAGCCATCTGAACTCTTCTATGTAAATTAGAGATTAACAACTGGACAGATTGAAGGCAGGACAGGAACAGTGTGGATGGCCATCAGTCCATGCAGCTCAGGAACACTCAGAGCCACCGTGAGCCGACCTTCCCTCCTCCTCCTCTGGCACTGTCTTTAATCCATGGATGTATTCATGGACCACCTGGGTATATTTTTGTCTAGTCAAGATGTTAAGGGGATTTTGAACATAGAGAGGGATTGGGATAGGGACCAGAGACATCAGTGCTTAATTTTGCATTAGTGTCTTGGGTTATTCCAGCTCCTAATTTTATGGCTTTATTTGCTATTAGAGTGAGTTAGCCATCCAAATAAAATTGCCTGTTAAGGCCTGGAGTGATTCACAGCCTTGCGGACACCATGCTGTTCCTTTGGGCATGCCCTGTGCTTTGGTGATGATCACCTAAGCTGACTTTCTCAGGTAGCCAGGGGGACCTCAGACCTGGCCTGCAGGAACAATAGTGCCACACAGGGATCTGCTTCAGGTGGGGCTGAGACGGACGCCATCTTCCTTGGTCTCTACCACTCAGGGGCTGCTACGTTCCCTTCAACATTTAGATTGTGAATGCTCACCTACTTCTGATCCCATGCTTAGCCCTATTTTTGTCTGAATAGGAGTTGCACAATTCCAGGAAAATGTATTTCTACTTTGTATTATGTTGGCCTTATTTCCCCAGGAGTCCCAAGTGGAGGTGGAGTCATGGCCATCTTCCATTATGATTGCACCTCCCTTCATTGTCCAAAGAAATGACAGGACGTGCCTAGATGGTTCAAGCCCCCACCAGCAGCAGCAGCAGAACCAGCACCACCATCCTCCTCCTCACCACCACTATTATTATTCCCTTTTAATCTAAATGGCTATCATGCATTACTTACCTGATGAGATAAGGTGGAGTAGGTCCCTTCCGTGTGGATGGAAAGTGAGCCACTGTCATGTGTGACACAGAGTTTCTGCCCTCCTGTAGTTTTCACTCTAGTCAGCAGACAGGCCACACAGAGTCTTGCAATCAGTAAGGAGTTTCTGATATTAGTAAGGAAATACCAGGAATTAAAAAAATAAAACATGGCAAGGGTAGGCACTAGTGTTTCAGAAAGAAGTGAAGGATCTGAGCTGAAACGCTAACTGGAGATTTTGGAAAGGGTTAGCCCGCCAGAGAACGCAGCAGGTCTAAGGGGGCTCTGTGAGTCAGGAGGTGGAGTGGTTTGAAGAAGGCAAGTAGGACCAATGTGGCTCACTGTGGTGAGAAGAGGAAGTGAGTGCAAGGAACTGAAGAGGAGTTAAGCAAGATGAGATCATATAGGACCCGAGGCATATGGCAAGAAGCGTACGTGTACATGTATGTTGATGTCCTGATGACTCGGGTTCTGATGGTTTGGGGGGAACATAAAATGGTGTAGCCACAGTGGAAAACAGAAAGGTGGTTCCTCAAAAACTAAAAATGTAGAATCACCATATGACTAAGAAATATGCTTTGGGGTAAAAGCAAAAAAGAATTGAAGGTCTCAAAGGGATATCTGTGCCCCCATAACAGTGAGATTCATAATCGCCAAAAGGTGTAATTGATGTAAGTGATGTGACTTCGTGGACGGATGCATGGATAAACAAAATGTGGGCCATGCACAGCACGGAATGTCCTTCAGCCTTACAAGGAAGGGAAATTCTGACGTGTGCTGACATAGGGATGAACCTCCGGGGCATAAGCAAAGTGAAAATACTAGTCACCAGAAAGATCTCTGGGTGTTTCCACTTGTAGGAGACAGAGAGAGCCGACAAACTCCTGGAGACCAAGCAGGGACTGGCAGAAGGAGGGGAGGATTGGTTAGTGGGTGTGCAGCTTCCGCTGGGAACGGTGGACAAGTCCTGGTGGTGGGGACGATCACACAATAATGGATGTACTTGATGCCACTGGACTGAAGAGTAAGATTGTAATTTTTATGCCAGGCATATTTACCACAATTAAAAGTTGTTAAAAGAAAATGATCATTTGATGACTAAAGTCTAGACTTCAGGAGGTTAGCAGGAAAACATGAAGAACTTTGAGGAGGCTGTTGTGTATCCCCAGCCAGACGCCATGGTGGCTTGGATCAGATGTCACTGGGCGCCTGGTGTAGGATGGTTCCAGTGCAGATGGGAAATGAAGTTACAGCCAGCCCATTCTAGGAAGCTCATTGTAAAGCCAGCAGGAAATTCTAGCTACATTATTTACAGAGTGTGTTAGGTAAAGGAGATGTGTGTGTGTGTGTGTGTGTGTGTGTGTGTGTGTGTGTGTGAGAGAGAGAGAGAGAGAGAGAGAGAGAGAGAGAGAGAGAGTGAGAGAGAGGGAGAGAGAGTTTCCTCAGCACAGAGAAGTTCTGACAGAAGAGGAGGAGATATTGACTAAGAAGAGAAGGAAGTGTATATTTGGAGGTGCCATTACATAGGGGCAAAGAGAGGTCGTTCAGGGTAAAATCCAAGGTAGATATGGGGGGAGAGTATGGGAGACAATAGCTATAAATTGATGTTTAGGTGTCATGAAGATGGTGTAGTTCTCACATAATGATTTCTGCTTCAGCAGTGAATTAAGAAGTGAGGTTACTATCTCTGAGTACAGAAGGACAGGGTGCTGAGGTTCAGGTGCAGAATGGAAGTATGAATGAGCATCTTGGTGAGGGAAGAAGCAAACTAATTAAAGAAAGGCAGAAGATGGCAGAGCAGTACCTAGAATCTATTGGGGATTTTGGGCAATGCACGTAATCTTATTTTTTTCTTGGTGACACTCCTACACGATAGGCATTCTTTCACCTAAAAGCACAGGTGCAGAACCTGGGGACAGGAGGGCAACCGATGCTTTCCATTTTGCAAGGCTGCACCTCAACATACGTTATCTAGGACCCACCATGTGCCCAGCTCCGGACATTGCTCACTTAATCATGACGATATCTTAGTCTAGATAAAAGAGAGGTGCAAAGAAGCCTCCGGGCAGTTTGTCAGGGTCATAAGGATCAGAGGCAAGTTTCAAATGACTCTAGCCTCAAAGCCAATCTCCTCCACCATGCTGCCTCACCTGTGCACCGTGTGCAGAGCGGGGGCCTCCTCCAGGGGCAGCGGCTGCACAGGATGTCCCATGGCCAGTTTTCTTCATTCTCCAAGGTCACCAGAAAGATAGAATCGTTATGTGCGTGTTTTAAAAGGTATTGACAATGTAAATTTCGGAATTTTCACACAAGAAGATCGCAGAATATGGTTAGGTTTTGCCTCTTTGCTGAAAAGGAAAAGAATTTGAAGCCTAAAGTCAAACAAATCAGAACTATTGCTTGGTGTCCACATTTCTAGTTCCATACTATTTGTTCTTGAAATTGCAGGGAAAAAAGTCCATTCAAATATATAGCATTCTTTGGAAATGTCAGTTTTCATATGCTCAAATCTGGTGTTTTCCTACACAGAGGGCAAAATGCCCAAGCGTAGTTAAGGGTCAGCAAAAGTCAGAGCACCCATCTTCACTCCTACTCAGCCCAGTGTCTGGAGTGAAGGCTCCATCAGCCCCTGAGCCTCAGCAAGCCTTTCTTCCCCGTGTCCCTTCTCAGGAACACCTTCAAATCAATGCACCTGTCACCACCTGACATGTGAAAATAGCTAAAGATTTCATCTAAAATAAAACATGTCATAACTCTTCCCTGGTGGAGCTTTTTGTATCATTGAATCTAAAATTAAATTGATTTACCATTTGTAAGCATAATACCAAATGCAGAGTGATAGAACTGATCATATTTTTAAAAATCCATTTATGTGTCAAAAATACCATATACAAAGCTAAATAGCAAGCTGTGAAGACAATTGCAAAGTGCACATCCAAAAATCCAAAATATATGATGGAAAACAGAAAGACATTAATATAAATATAGATAAATCATATAAAAAGATAATTCACAATAACAAACACAAATGTTCAACAGAAACAAAAAAATTTTTCAACTTACAAACCTAAAAAAAATACAACATGGTTATTATCATTATTAGCCATCTGATTAGTAGATAATAATTTTTAATTAATTTTAAATAAACAATTATCATTGAACTTTGAAATGCTAAGGGTTTATAAATATACAGAAACACTGTACTTCGTATTTGATGAAAGACCATTCAGATATGTCTACATATCTACAACTACATAAATACATCTGTGCATTCAACATTTATACAGTTTGTCCCTGTAGACGGCAATTCTACTTCCAGGAATGTTCCCAGAGTGGCCAATAGCTGAATGGGCAAACATAGGTACATATATAAGGGACTTGGCCATATCACTGGGACCATCAAGGATCTCAGGACAGAAAACCTGGTGCCCCGAGTCTTAACCAAGGAAAGCCATTTCTTTATGTCGTGGCAAAGAGGCCCCCGCTGTGTTCCTCACACTGGTATCTAGTTGGCATTCCTTTCACAGTTATGTGATTTAAATGTGAAAAAACTCTTCAGGAACTGATAGAAATTATAAGGCATATAGTGATCGATTTGTTAATTTAGTCAATCTTCACAACTTTTCTGCCCATTGAGTTATAATCCCAGAATTATTTGAAAAGTGTAGAAAAGATTAATTGCAGATTGATAACACTTTCAGATCTGCTTCAAAGGATTGGAGGCGTAGTTAGTGCGACTAGCTTGGGAAGAAGAAGACCCTGCGGGACAGCAGCGGCTCTGGTGCCTGAAGCAGGAAGTGGCTGACTCTCCACGCAGGGATTTTTTTAAAGACTTTTAAGTGGGTTTTGAAGACCAAATGGGAATATATGAAATAGAGAATGTAAAGAAGCCTTTTTATGCCTAGAACCTAATTTTGCACCTGAAAGGACTTGGAGGCCACAGTACTAAAGAGGACAGAGAAACCATGGGTAAGGGGTGAAAATAGTTCAGGGCAAGTTTGGGAAAGACTTTGGAAAAGATAAGTGTTTTTTGCTTGATCCCATATCAACAATTTCAAGAAAAAACGTAGCCTGATCAAATCTTTGTTTGAAAGACTAACATGCGACAGTGAGAATGAATTGGCTAACACGTGATGTGACGCGATCCTCCACGGCAGGCAGCACCTATGCTGTTGGGCCCACGCAGCCTTCCTCTGCCGCAGCTTCTGTTAACTCAGCCTGTTCCTCGGGTCCCAGGCAGCCCACTGAGTCTAACTCTCCACTGCCAATTTAAGGAACGTCACTTGCTAAGTTGTGCTAGAAACAGACACAAAGATGATAAAGGCATGGTTCTTTCTTTCTTTCTGAAATGCTGCAGGCTGGTAGGACAGGGAGGTTTTGAAGTGCCTAGCAACTGGGTCTGTAAACACAACTCTAAACCACATATGGTGGGGGGAGACTCGACTATTCTTGGAAGCAAAGTTTTTCCAGGGAAGAAAACTCTTGAGGTAGACTTTGAAAGATGAGATGGGACTTTACACAGGAGTGGAAGGCGAATCTTCTCCCCTCTCTCCAGTAGCAAGGCTCCTCCTGCTGCATCTTGTAGTTTCTCTAGGTGCCTGGAACTGAGCCAGGACTTCACCTTCTGTGTACACTCTTACGATGTCATTAGGCTCGCTCTCAGAAGTAAGTCAAGTAATCTCACTTTTAGAAAAAAAATAAATAAATCCCAGGAAATTGAATTTGGTGCTTATCACAAGAATATTTGTGGAGAAGAAATGACATCCTACTCAGCCTGATACCAAAGCACAGGGTGTACTCACTGCCAGCTCCTCACGGGTACCCCTGTGTCGCTTTTCCTCCAGCCACACCTGTGCCCTTCCAAGTCATGAGGGGCTTTGCTTGTTCATACAGTACCCCAAGTGCAGAGCTCAATACAGGGATCCAGGAGTTAGCCCCAAATATTTCAAATAATGAACAAGTCAATTACTATATCAATGCCTGAAAAGCACTTTGGGGACTTGCATGGTTCTATCAGATATGAAGACCTTTTGCTTTACATATTCTGCCTTCTCAACTCAATCATTTGTCCCTTGAGTACAGTGTCTCCCTGCAGCTTCTTTACAGCACCCATCCCCAGCCTCCATCAGAGAAGGCCAACATCAGGCACCCAGACAGATTTTTTTCCTCTCTTCAGTTCTGGGATGGACTCATCACCTGCTTGGCTTTGTTCTCCGCTGTTTTGAAGAAGAGTAGACATCACTGTCCTGTTCTTTCCCCAGGACGGCTTCGGGGCTTGTGTTTTCTAAATACCTTCTCAGGTCTTAGCCTCTGCAGC